CCTGGGGGGGATCTCGTTTGACGCCTGCCTGGTCCAGATGTTCTTCATCCACACCTTCACGGGCATGGAGTCCGTGGTGCTCCTGGCCATGGCCTTCGACCGGTTCGTGGCCATCTGTGACCCGCTGAGGTACACCGTCATCCTGACCAAGGAGCGGGTGGCCTGGATGTGTGCCGGGGTGGTGTTGCGCCCAACCTTCCTGGTGATCCCCATCACGCTGATGACTCTGCGCCTGCCCTTCTGCAAGCCCCACCTCGTCATCGCCCACACCTACTGCGAGCACATGGGCATCGCCAAGCTGGCCTGCACAGACATCCGTGTGAACAGCATCTACGGCTTGTTCACCATCGCCTTCCTCATGCTGGACTTAGTCCTGATCTTTGGGTCCTACGTGCTGATCCTGAAGGCCGTTTTCCACCTGCCTTCCAGGGAAGCCCGGCTCAAATCCCTGGGCACCTGCAGCTCCCACGTGGCCGTGATCTTCGTCTTCTACACGCCAGCCTTCTTCTCCTTCCTCACCCACCGCTTTGGACACGACATCCCCCTCTTTGGCCACATCCTCATCGCCAACCTCTACGTCATCCTGCCCCCCATGCTCAACCCGGTCATCTACGGCGTGAGGACCAAGGAGATCTGGACACAGGTGCTCCAAATCCTTTCCCAAGGGCGTCTTGTTGGGAGGCCCTCCATGAAATGATCTCGGCATCGTCTAGTGCAGTGTTTCTCAACCTTGGCAACTTGAAGATGTCCGGACATCACCTCCCAGAATTCCCCAGCCAGCGAATGCTGGCTGGGGAATTCTGGGAGTTGAAGTCCGGACATCTTCAAGTTGCCAAGGTTGAGAAACACTGCACTAGACGATGCGGAGATCATTTCATGGAGGGCCTCCCAACAAGACGCCCTTGGGAAAGGATTTGGAGCACCCGTGTCCAGATCTCCTTGGTCCTCACGCCGTAGATGACGGGGTTGAGCATGGGGGGCAGGATGACGTAGAGGTTGGCGATGAGGATGTGGCCAAAGAGGGGGATGTCGTGTCCAAAGCGGTGGGTGAGGAAGGAGAATAAAGCCGGCGTGTAGAAGACAAAAATCACAGCAATGTGGGAGCTGCAGGTGCTCAAGGATTTGAGCCGGGCCTCCTTGGAGGAGAGCCGGAAAACAGCCTGCAGGATCTTCGCGTAGGAAGCGGCGATGAGGATCAACTCCAGCACAAGGAAGGAGGCGACCCAAAGGCCATAGAAAACATTGGCGCGGATGTCCGTGCAGGCCAGCTTGGCGATGCCCATGTGCTCGCAGTAGGTGTGGGGCATGTTGAGGTGGGCGCTGCAGAAAGGCAGGCGTTTGGACATGACCGTCATGGGGAATATCAGGCAGGCCGGCTTCAGCGTGATGCCCAGGCATATCCAGACCACGGTGTCTTGGGTGAGGATGGTGGAGTACCTCAGCGGGTCACAGATGGCCACGTACCGGTCGAAGGCCATGGCCAGCAGCACCATCGACTCCATGCCCGTGAAGGTGTGGATGAAGAACATCTGGGCCAGGCAGGCGTCAAACGGGATCCCCCCCAGGCCAAACCAGAAGATGGCCAGCATCTTGGGCAGGGTGGAGACGGAGAGGCCCAGGTCGACGAAGGAGAGCAGGCAGAGGAAGTAGAACATGGGCTGGTGGAGGCTGGCCTCCGTCTTCACCACGGAGAGGATGGTGAAGTTCCCCAGAAGAGCAACCAGGAACCCAGCGCAGAAAGGGATGGAGAGCCACCCATGGACCTCCTCCAGCCCCGGGACCCCCAGCAGGACAAACGTGGGAGAGTAGAAATGGGTGCTGTTGTTGGGGGCCCACATCCTTTCACGGGGGGGAGGGGGTTTGGTGGGAGTGGTTCCCTCCTACCGTCCAGGCAATCTCTGCCTCCAACGGCTGCACCGTCTCCTCCTGCCAGCTGTGAGAACTCCTGGCCAGGAAAGCCCTGGGTGGTGAAGGAGCCCAGATCTTCCTGGAAGCTGCTGCAAAGGAGCGGGCAGGATTCCCGGGGAGGGGTCTGCGGGAGGAGAAGCAAGAGGCGACTAGGAGGCTGAGCGTCTTCCTTTGAGAGTGGGTGGCATTTATGGCCCCTCCTGAAAGAGCCCAGGAGTGCCTTCCCGCCCAGGGTCTCAAGGGGCCGGAGGCTAATTAGGCCTCCTTTGCCCCAAACGGTCCCTGATCATCTGGAGAGGCTTCTATCCGGGGACAGCGGCCTTCAGGCAGGAGCCAAAGAAGGGGGCCTGTGGGAGGGCAGCCGGTCGCCTGGCCAAGGGGAAGGCTGACCGAGCTTAGTGGGGTCAAGTAATCTGCCCAGAGCCCCCTACAAGCATCCAAAGCATTCAGAGCCCCAGGCCGCCCACCCGCCAGTCACCCTCCTGGAAGAATCACCCCACCCTCCCCAGAGGCTCTCCCAAACGGCTGGGCTGGATCCCTCGGCCGAGATCTCTGCAGCTGGAGGGCTGGGGGGGGGGGGGGAGGAGGCTGCCTCTTCCCGGGTGTTTTTCTTCCCTTCGGTTTGTGGCTCTTTGCAAACAGTAAGGGAGCCTCCTCGAGTGTGTGGGGGGCATAGGCTGAAAGCCCCCGGGGCATCTTTCAGAGGGCTCCCTTCCCCTGGAGCCCTGGTGGGGAAGGGGTCAAAGGATAGATGGTCCTCGACTTACGGCCACCGTTGAGCTCAAAGCCTCTGTCGCTAAGGCTGTGTTTTGCCCCATTTTATACCTTTCCTTGCCACAGTTGTCAAGTCTCTGCGGTTGTTCAATTCATCATGTCGTTTTGAAGCAAATCTGGCTTCCCCNGACCCGGATTGTTGTTGGGGGCGATATGCCGACTCTGTAAACCGCTTAGAGAGGGCTGAAAGCCCTATGAAGCGGTATATAAGTCTAACTGCTATCAACACCCAGATGAGCAGAAGGTAACACCAAAACTAACATTACACCAACCATCCAAAAGTAAACAACATTCAAATGAAGGAACTACCAATTCAGACAAATAATCCAACCGTAAACATCGCCCCATTGAAGGAGCCCCCAGGAAGATCCCAGCAACACTGACAGGGCAAGTCCCTAGTACATGAAAGAGGGCGACCCCCCCCCCTCCCTTCTGGCCCTGATGATGTTGCCTAATTGGGTCAGGAAAGATCTGCAAGAAAGCCGCCCAGCTCAGAGAGCAGCAAGGATCTTCCACACCAGCACTCCAGTCCTCTTGATAAGTGTTTGATGAGACAGATACCGCCAGGGCGAGCAATCAGCCATGGCCACAAAACCAACACAGGCAGACCTTGGTCAGATTCCTGATTCCAGAGTCCCTCTTTGCAGAAGATCTTGGGGCTCGCTAACTGGAGGAGAAGGCCTGCGATACAGTTCCCGCACAACTGTTGAAGGGGACCCTTAGCAACAGGGAGAAGTCAAGAATGGGGGGGGGGCTCCTGGCAGCCCCCATTGCAAAGTCTGTACCTGGAACTTGCATGAGGACCTGCTTTTGCTTTGGGCGAACTCCACCCTCACCTTTCAACGGGGCCTCCCTCGTTCCCAGCTCTAAAAGTGGAGGCTTCCTCTTAGGGCAGGCAGGCCCTGTGGGGCTCAGCCAATCCAGCCAGAATTCGATTCTTTCTTTGCTTCTGCCCAACGGATGGGATCTTGCCAGACTACAGGCAGAGCCTTGCTAGTCTCAAGTCACTGGAGATACTCAGGAGATTCTAGGCGGTGGCTACCCTGACTCTCCTCCCCTGCCTCCCATCGAGCCCTGGGCTCTCGTGTGACCCCCTTCGGCATTGGCCTCCTTGGAAACGGCTGCTTCGCTGTAGCGCATCACACCAGCTCCCCCTTCGCAGGCATCATCCCCCACCGTTACTTTTGCCACATATTTACTGCAAATGTTTTCCGTTTTGAATCGGCTTGGGTTCTGCTACCCAACAAGGTCCCATTTCGCCCTTCTGGACTCTTTGGGCAGCTTCCTTAAGCAACCAGGGCCAAAGTCTTACATCCCTTCCCTCCGTTAATGTCCGTGACGCAGCAGGTGAGGGTAGGTGTCCCTTGCTCTGGAGGGGACCCCGGGAAGCTTCTGCCTCACCTCCCTTCCACTAGACCAGTGTTTCTCAACCTTGGCAACTTGAAGATGTCCGGACTTCAACTCCCAGAATTCCCCAGCCAGCGAATGCTGNTTTACCAATCTGAAAATCTGGTCACCTTATTCTAAACCACATAAAGTGCCACAATTTCCCACCTCTTCTATATGGGAATCCCTTCATCTCATATAGAGAACTGAAGATCATCAACATACACAGGGCCATATGATTCTGACACTTCCCATAACCCTGAAGAGAAACACTAGCATTATGTTAAGCCTCATTGTCTTAATCTTGGATTGTTAAATACGCCACACATGGCTGTGTTCGAACATTGCATTCAGCCAAGCCAAAAGAAAAATAGTTTGACTCAGTGCACTCTGTAATTACAGCTTGTGAATTCTTTGGAAAGGAAAAGACCACCTTGGATTTATTTGACTATGCTTATGAGTGAGACGCTCTTGGCAGCAAGATAGATGCCTTTTGTATAAGAGCATAGAGAGTTTCACTTCTCTATGGGTTAGGAAGGAAGATTTTAGAACTGAACATGAGAGGACTGATATCCCTCATTTAGCACTGTAAGGGTACTATTATCCCCAAATAAAAACTGAACAATTCTGAAAAGTTTGGGAAGCAGTAAAATGCACTGTATTTTGTGATTTTCCTATTGCTGAAGAGGCCCAGTTGGGAGACCCAGCTGCTGTAAAAGAAATCCAGAAAACCCATTCCTTTTGGAAGACTCAAGGAATAGGCCAACAACTACCACAACTAAGTTTTCATCAATAAACTCTTCACAGAGTACAGACTGTTTACAGCAGGGGTCTCCAACCCCCAGTCTGTGGACTGGCCCCAGTCTGTGGCATGCCAGAAACTGGACCATGTAAACAAGAGAAGCCCCATCCATGGGATGCAGGCAGCATGCAAAACTATGCTCCCTCCAGTCGGTGGATAAACCTCTCTCCATGGGACTGGTCCCTTGTGGCCAAATTTGAGGGGCCACTGGTCTACATTCACAAATTTTTCACCAGTAAGCTCTTGACAGACTATAGACTGTCTACATTTGGATTTGAAACAATTCTCATGACCGCTTCTGCATGCTGGGATATGAGTTAATTATCAGCCAATTAAAATGCCCACAATAAAATGGGAGAGACAAATTCAATTTTTATCCATCGGCTAATTATTTGTATTTATAAATTATGTAGTTGTTTTAAAATGATACAAATGCAATCTAATGCAAATATCTAAAAAACAACAATGCCAGACATGATTAGAAAACATAAATGCATATAAGAAAGCCAAGGTTTTCTTTTAAATAAACTCTCAGCATTACAACATACAATTAACTTTTTAAAGATTAAGAACAAAACCCAGCCAAGAAATAAAACATACTGTAGTAGAGTTTAACCCAGTACAGATTTCAAACTCATAGAAAACCAAAAAGTCTAAATCCAATGAGGGAAAGAAATCAAGACAGGTTTTCTGTATAATATTTTTTTAACTGTTATCAGTGGAGTCACTTGCCAAATTTCAGCATGAGATGACCCCAAGGAACATCTCCATAGATGTCTTTGGTATGCAGGATGGTACATCTAGGAGGAGGCATCAAGTCCACAAATTACGTAACTGAGTTCACATACCATATCAAGACATGGCTTATTTAATCACAGATTTCTGAAAAAGCTGAAGCTTATGTTCACTGTGCCATAAACCATGTTTTGCAATCAACAATAAGATTCACACCAGAGGTGAGTTCGGCCAAACCACTAGTGGAATTCAGGCCTGGGACGCAGAACCGGCAGTGACCCAGTGACCCCATATATATATACACACACACACACACACATACATGCATGCATAAATTCAACATTATGCAAGCAGAAGCAATAAAACAAAGGCACACTAGAGACTTGTACTTCAAGAGAGCTAATTTCAATAAACTTAAGAGAGAGCTTGGGAAGGATTCCATGGGTGAGAATCCTCAAGGGGAAAACAATTCAAGAAGCTTGCAAAATTTTGAAAAGTGAAATTATAAAACCCTAGTCTAGCACAATATCAATGAAGAAGAAAAATGTGGAAAGCTGGGCAAATAACTAAGGCAGAATATCAGAAAATTAGCCTCAGCCTGCAAAGATGAATTGAGGAAAGCTAAGACTCAAAATGAACAAAGACTTTCGACAAAAGTAAAAAATAACTTTAAAAAAGCTTCTTCCAACATGTTAAAAACAAGAAAAAAGTCAAGAAACAATTGGTCCATTGCTGGGAGAAAGTGACAGGAAGGTGAAAAGCACAGGGAGAAAGGAGAACTACTTAACTATTTTTTTCACCTGCCTTTACACAAAGGGAAAAAAAACAGTCCAAACTATCAAAAACAGCACCACAAAAAACAGATTAGGAACACAAGTTGAAATAGGGAAGAAAATGGTGAGTACTTGTCTACCCTAGACGAGTTCAAATCACCAGGATCAAATGGATTACACCCAAGGTTCTGAAGGAACTGGCAGACAAGATCTCAGAACCACTGAACTATATCTTTCAAAGATCCTGGAGCACTGGGGAATTTTCAGAGGACTGGAAAAGAGCTGATATAGTTCCTATCTTCAAAAAAGGAAAAAAAATAGATCCAGGAAACTACAGACCTATCAGCTTGACCTCAATACCAGGGAAGATTCCTGAAAAGATAATCAAGCAATGAATCAGTGAAAACCTAGATGAAAACAAAGTAATAACCAAAAGCCAACCTGGGTTTCTCAAAAACAGATCATGCCAGACTGATAATATTGCATTCTTTGACAAAGTGACAAAATTACTGGCCCAAAGGATTGTTGTAGATATAATTTACTTGGACTTCAGTAAGGCATTTGATAACGTGGACCAAAACCTACTAGTTGATAAAATAGAAAAATGTGGTTTAGATATTATCACCACCAGATGGCTGACCAACTGCACTCAACATTAGTCCTCAATGGAACTGCTTTTACATGGAGGGAAGTAGGCAGAGGTGTACCTCAAGGCTCATCAACATCTTCATCAATGATTTGGATGAGGGAATAAATGGGGAACTCATTTGCAGATGACACCAAGCTGGCAGGAATAGCCAACACTCCANAACTTTTAACTGGGTGGGATTCTGATGTAACTTCCAGAGTTGGAATCCCCACAGCTATGTGCCAACATACCTGTTTTATTAAATTGGAACTTTAAGCATAGTTTTGCCTTCGACTTTGATTTGATTCTACATAGTATTTGGAACGCTAACACGATATATGAAAATCTTCTACCAGCACTTTAAAATATTCCCTAAACCCACATGCATATTACACAGCTTGTTTAATACATATACATTTTTAATGAAAGATTAATCAGATAATCACAAGTAGGCAGGTTTATAAAATCATAATAACTGAGTTCATATTGGGCAAAAACTAACATATTGCATTTTTATTAAGTGTAGGGTTTTTTTTAAAAAAAGACTCACCATAAGAAATTTATACTTTATTTTTCTACCAAGCTATCCAAGGCATCTAACAACATTGAATAAAAAATAATATTTGTCAATGAAAATAATAATAATCACCAATTTAAAAATATCCACCATACTGAGAATAATAAAATTGGTGTCCATTTTATTAGGTCACATAAAGTATACTTTGGAACTGCAAACTATGTTATTTTCCAAAGTGAAATTTAAACTAAAAGCAAATATTTTGCCCTAAAGGATGTTCTTGTTAAGATCCACCAAATCTTAAAATGGTGTTTGCTGAATATCACACGTAGGTTTAAACCATGGCCACAAAAAAAAGGAGCATAGTCATGTTCATCTTACAGGCATAGGACTTTTTTTCTTATTACCTGTTCTTTCCTACAGGAAATTATAAATATAGAAATTAAAATGTTTCCCTTCCTTATCAGCCTAGGTCTGCGGACTCCTGCTAAAATGTGTTGGAGATTGCTACATTAAGTGTGAATGTGTTACACATGTGTATACTACTGTTACTGCTGCTGCTGCTACTACTACTACTACGAGAGAGAGGGGGGGAGGGAGAGATAGAGAGATAGAGAGATAGAGAGATAGAGAGATAGAGAGATAGAGAGATAGAGAGATAGAGAGATAGATCAGGGGGTTGTTGTCAAAAGAGCCAAGAAGACAGACATCATACTTTCCTGAGAAAAATTAATCAAAATTTCATGATTCTGTACTGTATATATGTTTTCTTCTGTGACAAAAAAGAAAGTAAACATCAAGAAATTATGCACAACTGTGTTACCAAAGTTTTGCATGCATTGCATGACACCAGTAAAAAAGGGATAGAACAGGGGTGACAAACTCATGTCATCACGATAGCATCACATGATGCATCGGGACTTTCTCCCCCTTCGCTAAACTGGGCAGGGGCGGGGCCAGCATGTGACACATCCAGCCCAGGGGCCGCAAGTTTGACACCCCTGGAATAGAATGGCACCTGGGAGCCACCCAAATTTTTGCACCTCAGATTTGGAAGTCCTATGCCTAAACCACAGAGAACTTTCTAGGCATTGAATATTGGAAAATGATCTCCCACCCAATTCATAAGGAAAAATTATTAGGGAAGGAAAACTCTCTATCTGGTGAAATATGCGTTAAAATCTAGGAGACATATAATCTAATCCAGTCCTTCTTCTGAAAGGTAATATACATTAATCTTCTGCAATGTGGGTACTATTCAAAATATAGTGTAAAAAGGCCTCTTTACAACAAGACTATGGTTGGAACTGGAAAGGAAAGCCCCTCAACTCCCACTCAAGATCTTACTGTGACTATCTCAATAATCAGTTTGCTTTCAACTGGGGTGGTCAACATCCCAGAATGCATTTTTCCTTTTTACCCAACTGTGCACGGATTAGGGAGAGGTTGGATTTTTATCACTCTATATTCTGATTTTACTAGAGTTGCACTTCAGAGACTTACTATGAAACCTATTATTTAACTCTGACTTCAAAGAGCTCTTAATGTATTTTGAAGTTAGTGTTTCCAAGTTTACAACATGATATTTCACAGCTGTTTTTAACTTAAAGTTATGTATGTATGACAGTGCCCTTTGAAATCAGTACTATGATGATATGTTGCACATGTGCATGTATAAAGCAGTATAAAGCATTTCATATTAATTTTATCACCAAATACTTATAAAATAGAAGAAAAAAAAATTTCCTTCAGAAACCATAGTCATAGGTAACTAACAGATACATTATAATCTATTCTCCTAAATGTTCAGTTTTCATTTTAAAAATATATTATTATTTATGGCATATATATTACATCAGGGGTGAAATGCTATCGGTTCTGGCCGGTTCGCTTGAACAGGTAGTAAAAATGCTACTGGTTCCCCAAAGTGGTAGTAAAAAAATGCTTTAAAAAGTAAAAAAAAAAAGTTCCTTTGATTGTGTGGCACAGCTGATTGTTGGAACTTTTTAAAAAAAAATTAAAGCATTTTTTTAGTACCAGTTCAGGCAAAATGCTAAAAAAAAAGTAAAAAGAAAAGTTCTGACAATCAGCTTTGCCACACAATCATCAGAACCTTTCTTGTATGTGTGAAGTCCAGCTGCTTTTGCATTGTGTGTAGCTTTTGTGTTATTTTTTTTTTAAACAGAACTTTTTTATTTTTCTTTAAAAAAAAACACAAATATGTCCTCATTTGTCAATCATTAAGACATTGAAGTACATTTTTTTTGTTGTGTGTGCCCCTCTTTTATGTCAGTCAATATGTAAATGAAAGCACAATTTACCTTTAAAGGCAACAGTTGACACCCACTGACACAAAGTCTGTGTGTTCTCCCAACTTCTCTCCTTTCAATTTCCCTCCATTCATTAGAGGGAGCCAAAATGACCCCGTGGCTGAACTTGGTATTCTTTCTTGCATCCCTTGGAGGTAATGTTTCATTTTATGTAGAGGTTCCTTCCATTTGCAGTTCCTGTATATAGGAGATTTCATTGAAAGATCTTTCATTTTAGGTGTCCGATCTGAGGTTCAATTGGTGGAGTCTGGAGGGGATGTGAGAAGACCTGGAGAATCCCTCCATCTCATCTGCCAAGCCTCTGGATTCACCTTCAGCAGCTCTTACATGATCTGGGTGAGACAGGCTCCAGGGAAAGGACTTGAATGGGTGGCCTACATAAGTCTATCCTCATCTTACATTTACTACTCAGACAAAGTGAAGGGACGCTTCACCGTCTCAAGGGACAATGCCAAAAGTCAGCTGTATCTACAAATGAACAATCTGAAAGAAGAGGACACAGCTGTCTATTACTGTGCAAAATACACCG